GTTTCCCATCCCCGAAATATCTCCCCCAAAACGTTCAATGCTAGTGTTTGCTTTTTGCAGAATATCTTTGCTCATTCTGGGGAATTTGTGGTAGATATCGAAAAGAGCCAAGACCTCAAATAGGCTGAGGTGATATTGCGCGTGAAGGTCTCTGTCACGAACCGGAGGGAGAGGATATTTCAGAAGATCCTCAAAGAATATCCGGTAGTTCCTTATGAATTTTTTAAGGATGATAACATTTTTTAAAAATTTGAATTATTTCAAGCTGGTTCCATGATTGGAGAGAGGGGGGATACAGAATAACAAATAATTAAAAAATTTAGGAATATCAGGTTCATTCTCACGTGAAAAAATGGCTTATAAAATTTTTTTTCAAAAAGAACGCATGCTGAGAAGGTGAAAGATGGGCTCCTGTTAGGATATTAAAAACTTTGAAGTGCTGATAAGGCTGAGCTGCTGTGACGGTTTATACATAGAGATGTTGAAACTTTTCTTGCTCAAGTCACGGAAGAGACGGAAATTATTCAAACGGGGATAGAATGCCTGGTATCGTGGTCGGACATGGTATCCACAATTTTAAAAGTTGAGAGAATCGTTTGTCACTCTGATAACTTTTGAAATGCCCTCAATTCTTCAGCGGAGGGGCTTTCCATTTTCTGTAACGGACATTTCAGCACAATTTCTCAAGTTAACGAGTACAGCATATTCACTTGTAAATTTGGCGACATGGACGTAATTCACTGCTTTAGTCACCACTTTCAAACTTCCATGAGATGAATACAACTTGTAACACCGGATGCAACAGTATTTTTGTTCCATAACTTCTAACTTCTAATTCCAACCCGTACATATCAGGCCATTGGTCAAGTTAACACAGAAAACCGACGACTCATTTCAGGGTGTATGTCTAGAGAGAAAATTAATCAAGTGATCGAAGTCCTGTAATACGATGATTGGTACTGCAGGAAATCCCGGTTCTGCAGACCTCACGGCTCTAGATGGAATACGCTTCATTTTTTGCACTGAATGGTCATCATAGCAATCCTTGTGCTTTCGCGTATTCCCAAAAAAGCAGAGAAAACATACGCGTGTTACCGGCTCCCCCCAGATTCCTCGTACGTGCCTGAGATATCTGTAACCTGACTTCGTTCTCCTTCCCAGGAAAACACGGCTTCAGCCAGCTAATACATCAGAGATCAAATCCCTTCTGTTCCCTGGATTGTGCTAATACGAATCTTTTATCCGGGGTTCTTTCTGATAGAATGCCAGAGGCAGTGTCGCTTTTTATGCTGGCACGTTCGTGTCCGTTCTTCAATGCGATGAATGTACTTCCGGGTTTATGCCGTTTTCATTTCTCGGGATTTGCTATAGGGTATTGCCACTCGATTCGATCACATGTTTTTCCAGGCTTTTCATTCTGAAAATGCTTCGCGATGACATGCAGAAGATGTTAGACACAGCCGACGTTCGTCGATTCGAATGAATTCTATGGAAAATATACATACCCGGCTGTGCACTCACGAAGTGGAAAAGACTGCAATCTTCAAGATTGTGGGACTTTTTTCTCGCAAAAGTTTACGAGGAATATCAAGGTCTGAAGCACCGGTCAGAGATGTCAGTCCGTGAATCAAAATAATATTTCCCCTGAGCACGCGTATTTGTGGGAAAAGCAGTTCTGAGTTGGTAAGCTAGACACCCCATTTCTTCTAAAAACAAGGTATCAGATGAAGCTTTAGAAAAACTCTTGTGAATTATGGTGCAATCCCTTGTTTCTTGGTAGAATTTCCGCTGAGAAGCTTTTTCGTCAACAGAATAGTCCTCGCAGAAGTTTTCACGGTTTTCGCATTCCCACGCGTTCATTCGTTGAAGCAGAGGGAAAGACTGGCTTCTAATTTGTGAAATAAATTTACCAGGCTTCATTCGCCCCATTTTATATTGACCAGTGTACCGAAAGTCAATTCTAAAGAATCAACTTTCGGAAATCGAGGGCGCTAGGAGTCAAAATCCCAGCCATTGAGTTGAAATTCCGGACGAAGTGAAAATACTGTACATTATAAGTAATCTGGATTCAAGTTTTTAATGAAATTCGCCGGAATAATTACATATTCCCTCCACGCACTGGACTTTTCAGTTTCCGACTGCAGCTGCAGTCTGAAACAGTGTATACAGTACTAGTACTGTATACACTTTCTTCCTGAAAAGTTCGCTCAGATCTCCGTGCGACCCATGATATTAGAGGTGCAATTGCCGCAAAATATTTGGCGTGTACGATTCACAAGGTTTATATATCTGCGAATACAGTTGGAATCACCGAATAAATTCCGACTCATGGAATATGACACAACCATTCCTCGAATTTTAAATGGTCTCTGATGCATGTCTTTCTTCTCAATTTAGTCATAGGAATTGCATGCGTATTGTCCGCATTCAAACATGCCAAAATTCATTTTTTTAGAAAGATTTCCGATTTCCTGCGCTCCGTCAATGTTTTTCCTCGAATCACAAGAGCCCGACTCGGCGAATTGCTCTTTGAGAAAGTTCCTCCGCGTAGAACAACAGAGCTGCAGAGAGGGATCAACTGCCATGAAGAACTAGTGTCCGAAGTCATAGCACACACCCGATTACGCGTTCCTTATCTCTCCTGATGTCTGTTGACAGGATAACCCAGGGCTACAATATGCGATGAAAGAAAGCTGGAAGATGCATGGGAATCGTTCGGCCCGAGTCGAAGAGAACTCCGGTCGTGTGTACAGGGGCCGGCACGGCTGAGGGTTAGTCCACTGAATAGTGTGCGGAACTGACCGTCCCCTGTCCTAGCAATCGGATATTCTCCGCAATCGTCCGGGCTCAGCCCGGGTTCTGTTGCACGGATTTTCCGAGACCATTTGCTTCAATTATTTACTGCACCGGACGCTTGAGATCAAACGGTTCCCGAACGTCTTCCACTTCATTTTGTAATTACTGTCCCAGTTTATAAGTTTCTAGCAACGCATTTTATCTATTTTTTTAAAGCTCAAGTGGGACCTCATACGAAGAAATTATTTCCGTTTCAACGAGTCTTTCGCTGTTTGTGGCTTAAAACAGTTTTCCCCGACCTGTGGTCCGCGGACCGGCGCCAGTTCGCAGAAGTTTGTTGCTGGTTTGTGGGAAATTTTCTTCAGCATAATACATTTATCAAAAGTACCAATGGAGTCTGTTGCCTTAGTGTGAAATTTCGGAGAGACAGTGGCAGTTAAAATTATCTGATGACAAACAAAAGTTGGCTTTTCTCCTAATAACACTTCAGACAAATTGTCCATGCTGAAATAAATTATTTTAATCTTTCATTCTGAGAAACCTTTCTTCAAGCCCACCTTTATAATTTTTAAAGAAATTCCGCTATAGCAGCTTCATTGCTTTTTAATTGGGTCTGAAATTTTTCTTTTTTTAATTTGTCAGTCCACAGGCCGTAACACAGGCTTGGAACATGTTTAACCACTTGCATGCATCGGGGAAGTAATACAGTACATCATCAGCCGCAAAATGGTACTGCAAAATAATAGCATCCGCACTTGAGCCATTATTTTACGATCCATTTAAACTATTCGAGTGGCAGAAAAAGGCTAGAAAAATCATAACATAGAACAAAACACAATCAGAAGCATTGCACCTCCTACCCAGGAACTGACAGTGCCCCAAATGACTGAAGTTTAATTTTTAAAGCTTGTAGAGCCGCACTCATCCAAGTCGAAGTTGCGCCAGTTCGTAATTCGTCATTCTACGAGGAAAAGTCGTTGGAAATTATTTTTCTTGGTATGTGACATTTCTAGGTGAAACGCGAGCTCGTTGTTCAGTTGTTGATTGTCCCTGACGCGTTCGTTGTTTAAGCGACGAACCTAATCCGTTCCAACATGTGGATCGTTCTTCGTTGTTCGCGATACAGTTCCAGAATAAATGTATGGGGACAATTATTTGTTCTTAGCAAATGCAATCTTCCCTGTGCTGGTATAATGTTTCGTGCTTCAATCAAACAAACAATTCCTACCCAAAGGAAACTGTGTGACCTTTGCTGTTTTCTTCTGCCGGAGAGAACTCAGATTCACCAACAGATTACGTAAAAGGCTTACGATGCATATACTGTACTGCAGAAAAGTGTGATACCGTAATGATTCCATCTTTTGGGGAATTACGGCCTGAATATTTGACATGATTTTTTAAATGTACAATCCAAGTAACAAAGGCGAACAAATTTAAATCCCCATCGATTGAACTAATTTTTCGTTACAAGCGTCAGATCCAGCGTCTAAAATCCTTTCATTGCTTAGGACGGGGTTTATTGCTTTAGTCAATCTTGCACTGGCATCAGTTCGTTGTTGAGGCGTTCGAAAGAGGTACCTGTTGTATGCATCGATATTTCCGATGAGTACTTTCCGTAGCAAAAGCATCCCTTCTCCGTTTATACTGGACTCGTTGGAAGATTCGTGCGTACTCAAATTCTTTGACCACGCTTTTTTGGAAAAAATTATCTCATGAACGAAGTGTTTCGCGTTGCTTTATTTTAACATCAAAACAGACTCTCGGTGTTGAAAATAGAAAGGAAAACTACTACAGTACTTCATAAGCCGATGATGACCTCGGGACTCTCTTCACATGCGCAGAAATACGCAGTACGTGCAGTTTATGAACGAGCGAACACATGATTAATCTCGGACAGTGTTTGAAAGGAAGTTGATAATGGAACAAGCTCAGCATTTCATAAACTGGCACTGACGAATCTGCTCAAAATGATCGAATATATATAGCACTGTTTTTATTAATTTTTTTTTGCGCCATTACTGTTTTTCAACTTGCTCTAAATGAAGTAGGCATTTTCTTCCGTCATTTCCTACCGTCGACAAGTCAATCGTGGTAATCCTGTCACTTCTATTCTCTCAAAACCTAACATGATTTTTTGCATTGGTCGCCAGATTTCGGGCCTGTGTCTTCAATAACGATGAATGGCATCGTAACTATTGTTTTTCTCATAACATGTAATGCGAAAATATTTTTGCAACGATGAGCGCTTCAGAACTGTTACTCTTTTTGATTCCACGTTGGTCCCGGAAGTCGCACTTCGAACATCCCGAACAAAAATGTATTGAAAACTCCGGGATTAAAATTTGAATCGTGTTTCTATAGAACGATGAAGAGGATTCATCAAAGAAAACGCCACGATGATCAGCGCTTTACACCGAAAAGCCCACCTATGTGCTTAATATTTAATAGAGATGAATGCTATATGCACTCGCACTAATATGAACTGTTTTTTCTGAACACGTCGAGAAGGATTCCCACTGACGAAACTCAGTGTAATGACGCTTAAATTTTAACCTCGAATCACTGCAGGAATTCAGTTTCTTATTGATAATTCTGGTCATTTTTCACATTGGCATTTATTAAAATGGGCTTCGACGAATCTGACTTTGAGATTATCTTTTTCGGTTTATTAAAGGCTAAAATTTTCGGGCAATGAAATCGTCAAATATTTAGGGCAGAGAAAGCGAAAATATTCTCGATTTTCACTCGGAGAAGTGGGGATACTCACTGTGATGTAGGAAATGGAGTGAAACGGCACCGACTTATTCCCGTTTTGCACTGGCTCAACTTCTTCCTCTTCCGGCAGCCTGTTGTCCTTGTAGGTGGCGCGGCGCTTCTGTCTACTCACGACACCTTTCGCGGCGGCGATGTCCGCCAAGACCGGCGGTTCGGCGACGTCCGCCGGACCCATCGCTCGAACGTCCGACAGCACCTCTTCGATCGCCATGGTATTATCGAGGACCACTCGCTTGACCTGCGCCACCTCATTGTCGAACCGCGCCCAACGCTCACTCGCAGCGAGGAAAAATGCGACCTGAGCCGCCAATGTGGCGAGCACCACGACGCGCCAAACAACGTCGCACCGATTCCCGCCGCCCCGCTTGCCTTCCGCCGCATCGTGCTCCACGTTCCCCGACATGACTTCTGAGGCGGGCTGTCGTGGTCGCCGCCGAGGTGTACCTCCGCGTGCCGACCGCGGCTGAGGGCGCCCGAGTGCGCACGCATCCACGACCTTGTCCGCCTCCCGACACGGCGCGGTGTCTGCGGAATTGAACTCAACGCTGCGCCCGAGGTCCGGCTCGGGTTGCAGAGCAGATCGTACCGCGCAGGCAAATGCACGGGGATTGAGTGAGGTCGGTTTGCAGCATTCATTCACTTGTTCACGCGATTCCTTGTTGATGATCACTTTTAATCCATTCTTCAGAATTAATATTGGATTCTCTTCATATATTCCTCGGGTGCGGGTGTCTGGATTAGCGCTCATTTCTTGCGTGTAAAGCTTGAGTTGCGATAATCAACCCTACAACTAGATCATCGGGGTCTTGGCTCGCAAGCGCCCCTGCTGACAAACATTTCAGCTCATGAAAATTGTATTTTTACCCAATTTGCCCCAAATAACGAACATTAATCCGGCTTGCTAAAATTGGTCCCGAAATTTTCCTTATTATTGAACATACTGTATTACAATTGTTCCAGTGAAAAAAAATGAGCTTACAAAATTTTGCGCAGACAAACATTTTCCCGAATTGGAATGTTTTCATGCAACAAGACCCCACTGTACAACCATGCATGGCTATTTTAGGCCATTTTCTAGCAATGAGCAAGTGTGGCACTGAATTGAGAGCTGTATACTGTACAGTGTATACGGGTTGAACGTGCTGGAGGACAACGTTTCGTTGGCACTTAGAGGCTCTATTTTGAGGTTTCATTTCGCATAAAAATGAAAATTTATGAGTCTTGCTTGGGTCGGAAGAATCTTGATCCTTTCAAGTGGCTAATAATTTTTATTTCATTTCAAAAGTGCCGTCGATTGCTGCTTTTCAAAAAAGTTTTAGGCATCGTCATACTTCTAACGTGAAACAAAGTCTGGCTTTGAACAACACTACGCATCAAGTACATTATCACATATTTCGATGTTAGGTACTTACTGCAGATTGGGTTTTCATGAACTTCGGATCGAAAACAAAATGCGTTCCTCTAGGAAAAATCTTGTAATTGCCCTGCGTTGTGAAAATATATTCCCATTGCCTGCAGGGAAAATTACCAGAGTTTGGAAGTGTGTGAAATTATCTGCTATGATATAAATGCTTAATTGTGTCATTATTTCTGGCTCAGATGTTGTTCTCTTACGTTTTCAAGCTAGTGGTTTAGATGGCACAATCTTAAAATGCCTATCTCTGTCAATAGAGTGAAACCAGCCGAAATTTTTTAATGGTTGAATCAGCATGATTCCAATGGTTTGCTGCGTATTTTGGTATTGTTGAAATACAATAGTTGAATTTATTTTTTTAATCTCCAGAGATTGACGAAAGGGAGAGTATAAAAAGGATAGGTTTCTCGAACTATTTATGCCATTTGTAATAGTATACAGTAATAGTATCCAAAATAATATGTATCAAGGTGTCAAAGTAGTGCATTGTACAGCAGGAAGGTTCAGTAAATTCGGAAGCTGTCACGAGAATAAGGAATGAAGGAGTATTGAATAAGAAACAGGTATGCGTAATCATTGAAATTGATCATCCATCAGTAAAAGAGAATTGAGTGTGCATGTGTGCAGTTCATTAAATAAATTGGGGCAACAGATCACAGCTGCTGATCTCGTGCAATTCGGGGCTTTGAAGGTGATGGAGTGTTTTCCTTTCTTCCTCGCCTGGCAGCTAGTCATTTTGCCTGTTAGGCCTCCTTTGAACCCTTGCACACGTCAGACGCAATAATTTATCTTGCATTAAAGAAGTCAAAGAGGCAGGTCTTCCGTACTGTAGTTTTTTTCTCCGGTAAGTATTTTTCTCGCAGCGAGAAATCTATCAAAAGACCAAAAATGCTATCTTTAACCTGTTCCTGAATTTTTGAGAAAAAATACTGTATATGCTGTTATTACGTCGTCATTGGGGTTTCTGAGCAGAGACAAATTTTATGATACAGTAATTTGGATTTGAACATCATGAAGACTCTGCGTGGTGACTTGAGCGGTAGGAACTCAGTAGAATACAATTTTCGACTGACTTTATCGCATGAGCTAAGCTGAAAATTCATCTTATAGATTCGCTTGCTTGGAGATGATTAATAAGTAAATTTGAACTATGCTTAATTTTAAAAAAAACTTTGGACACAGCATGGAAAACTCATTTTTACAAGATATATTTGGCGTTTTTGCGCTATAAATCGTACTTTTCAAGTGACGGCTCATGTCCACTTGTTAAAAAAAAAACAACAACAAAAATCGTAAAATTAATTGAATATATTCGATGATTTCTTGTCAGTGACACTTTTGTTATCCATTTGAAAGAGAGATATTATAAAGTCTAACTTTAAAATGAAAGCATTCCAAATTAAGAAAGCATGCACAAACGCGCGATTCACATTAATGTATTAGTTGGTCAATTAACAACCAGATTTCTTATTGCCACTTTTCTTGCATTGTATCTACGCTCAAGTCCTTGGTGAACTGCGAAGAATTGAGAGCAGTGACAGAAGGAACTACGTGCATTTTTGTGGTAGAGAAACTTGCACAATAGCACCTTCTCGGCTGGAAAAATGGAGCCATTTTTCTGGGGAATTCCGGTTCGTAATATGGGATTTTATTTAAATTCAGATCAGATCTTTTCTGGGGGTTATACAGTACTGCTGGCTTCGTAAAATATTCATATTAGGATTGCAAGAGAATAAAATATAAAAAAAATAATGTTCCAGAATTTTTATACGACTGTACAATTTTTTCTTGAAGAAAAACCCGAATCGATGCATTATTTTCAAATATTCTTCGCGATCCTCACAAACGCAATCACGGGTGGGGGGGGGGGGGGGGGGGGATGGA